TGTGCCATCCCTGCCTCACTGGCTTCCCGAAAATCTCTTGGCCACAGTGTGGATGATGCTCACTGTATTGACCCTCTGATCACGGAAGGAGTCTCAGCAGTGAACCCTGAACTTGTTATCTGTTATTGATACCTAAAGCTGGGTGAGACCATCTTCCTGTAATCCCCACACCCTTCTTGATTCTCGGGTAAGTTTCCCACAGGGAAAGTCCACCTGACCCCTGCAAGGTGTGAAAATGCGTTGGCTTTGTTTTTGTTGACTCTCCTTTTGCCCGCAGGTGGTTGCCACAGGCTCCTGTTTGCTGCCTGTTGAGGGTTTATTGGTTTTATGCTTGTACTATGGCCTTTGTTCCATGTCTGCTTTCACAGATAACATTTGTTGCGTTTCCTTTACACACACCAGTTGCTGTCTCTGAGCTTCTCAGTGGGCAGTGGACAATGAGCAGAACTTGTGTCTTGAAATACTTTGGTGTTCTCCAGTTTGGTCTCTCCTGTTTCCTACTAATCAGGCTGGAGGATTCACTTCCCAGCAAGATACCTGTTTGAGTCAGTTGAGTTGTACAACAACCTGTTTCCAGAGTTTTTCTTTCCCTGATGTTTAGATTGATGACGTATGAAGTAGGAGCTGAGGAATACGCTGGGATTGAGAATGTATTCAGTTAGATAAAATTCAGAACAGTGCTGCGCAAAATTGGAGCAGCAAATGGATTTTGAAAGGTTTATTGTTGGCACTAACTTCTTTGGGGGAGCTTTTCTGAAAGACATGATCCTCAAGGTGGGTGCTCAGTGGGTACCATATTGTCCTAATATTGTCAAACCACCAAAATGATTCCTTTGGGTTTTGAGGAGCTGAGGGAGCTCAGTGAAGGAAAAAGGCCTGGAGACTTTCTGGGGCCAAGTGACTGTGGTCTCATCCTTCATCCCATAAAGAGGTGCCATGGCAATTACAAGAGGATGTGACCCAAAATGGGACTTACAGTAAAGTTTAAAAATGATTTAGACATTATTATATATAAATGTTGTGTATAAACTAGGTATTATGGCACAGGGTGGAGAGGCACTGGCACAGGTTGCCCAAAGCAGCTGTGGCTGCTCCATCCCTGGAAGTGTTCCAGGCCAGGTTGGATGGGGCTTGGAGCCACCTGGAGTAGGGGAAAGTGTCCCTGCCCTTGGCAGGAGGTGGGATGAGATGGTCTTTAAGGCCCCTTCTAGCCCAAACCATTCTGTGGATCTATGATTATGTAGTAAAAATATTTCCTGTTGTTTATAATAATATTATAAACATGGCAATATAAAGGCCTATAAAGTTCCTACAAAGAAACAGGTGGTTCAGAATCTTCCTGGTTACAGAAGGTAATTTTTTTTTTTGTCAGGCAGTGGGATGAAGGATTCAGCTGAAATTTGAGACTGCTCCAGGGCAGAGGAGTTTAGTATGTGGCTCTCGTCTGGGCAGGGAAGAGCAATATACTGCAAGATAATTTGGAGATGGATTTACAAGCTGGCAGTGTGCTCCCTCTTAACAGATGCCCATGATGTTCCCCTGAGCAGGGAAAACGAACTGAGCTTTGGAGGAAGCTCCTCCTTGCACAGAAGTGTCTCATTGAGCAGACAGAACCAAAACCCTCATCTGGTTCTAGATTCACCTCAGCTAACCTGGGCTGACTTTCCTCGAGGTATTACCAGGGCTATGCACAAGCAGCTAAATGTTTGTTTTTTTCCCCTTTTGTCCATAGGAAAACCGTCCTGTTCCAGAACCAGGTCCCAATGGTAGGTCTACAGATGACTGTTTCTGTCTGCTGCCTTTACTCATCTCTTTGTCTTCTCTCTTTTGTTGCTCCTTGATATTAGAAACTATTTCTGAAGAAATATAAAATAATCCAAGAAAAACATGTATGGCTGAAATGCTGCTTTCCCACTTGGAAAGAAGAGCTGGAGCAGCCACAGATAGACCCATTTGCCTGGCTCTTATTGCTTCCTGTTCCATCAGTTCATGTATGCCACAGTAAATGGCTCTTGGGACATGTCAGATGATCTTACTGCAGGGCTAAACATTAATAGGGTGGGCATATGGGCTGAGAGAAATTTGATTCACTAACTCTCCAGGGTTGAAAGAATAGCTTAGGGAGAAGGAAAAATTAAATGGACTTGCTGTGCTCCAGCAATAGTCACACTCCTCTTCAGCTGTGTTATGTTGTTGACCGTATGTTTTGTTGACATCAGCTTTTGTCTTACCTTATTTTAAGCCTTCCTGATTTGTGAATCCTTGTAAAGTTGCGTATTTCAGCAGGTGGCTCATGAGTATCCCACTCTTCCTCATGCATCCATGAGCAGCACTGGTGTATTTATTTAATGCCAGCGAATATGGATGTGTCAATACTGGCTCAGCCTTTGCCATGGGGCACAGGGACAGCCCACGTGCTGCTCTCCCAGAGCCTGAGGAGGTAAGTTTTTCTGCAAGGAACTTTTCCTCCTTCTCTGGCAGAGGTCCTCCTGCGCATGCATTCCGTTGGGATCTGCGGGTCCGACGTTCACTACTGGCAGCATGGTCGGATCGGCAATTTTGTCGTCAAGGACCCCATGGTGTTGGGGCACGAAGCTTCTGGGACTGTTGTCAAAGTGGGCTCAGGGGTGACTCATCTGAAACCAGGTAATTGAAATCAAAACTGTCTGTCTGTTTGTTTTGCTGTTAATCAGTTCCTGAGAACTTCGATACCAGACTGTGCTTTGCTTTGGTCACGTAAATTTACTTGAGGTTCTGAGCTCACAGCGTGGCCTTCTTCAGAAAGTGTCACTGTGCTGCTGTTAGTCACCCTTCTTGGACACTGTGGTGTATGACATTCCTTAGGTAGCTTTTTTCCTGGGGTATCTTGAGCTGCTCTGACTGTATTTTAATGCAGAGCAGAGTGTCTGCCAGTGCAAGGTGCCTTTTAAGGAAGCTAGATAAAGCTTCAGGAATCACGTACAGTGCTCTTGCCCGTAACCTGCTGGTAATGTTTCTTCTTTGTATGTGTTCTTGAAGGAGCAAATGGCCTCCTGCAGTGCAGAGAGGTCACTGGAGCAACTGCTCCAGGCCCTGTGGTGTGACCTGCACAGCTCGTGGTGCTCATCAATGTCCTAGAAAATGGGCTGAGCAGGGAATTTTGCAAAGTTTGCTGATGAGAGCAACTTAGGTAGGGTGGAGGTGACACAAGAGAGTCACAGAGAGACCTGAGGGGTGCCAGTAGGATGCAGGTGAGACTCACTCAGTGCAGTTAAACATAAAGAGATGTCCACGATAGAAGAAACAAAACCAGCTTCATATCTAAAATGTTGTGCTGGCTGTCAGTGCTGAGAGTGAGACCTTTGGCTTGGTGTTCAGCAGTGATGGAAAATGCAAATCAGCATTAAGAAAGGGACAGAGACTCTGAGGGCACCAGTGCACATCTGGAGCTCTGCATGCAGTCCTGGTCTCCTTGCCTTTCCAAAGGAACATGAAAGAAGTGAGAAAGGTTTGGAGGAGGACAAGGAGATGATTTTCCAGCCCTTAAATTCTATGATTCTGTGATGATTGTATGATTGATAGAAATAGGTTGTTAGGTAGTATTTCACAGAATCATAGAACCATCAAGGTCGGATGAGACCTCTAAGGTTACTCCTTGTTCTGCAACATGTGTCCTTCCAGCAGTCTGGGCTACTCCAGCATAGCACCAAACTGTCTCTGTCCCGGATCAGTTCTGCTTGGCTCCTGGATGTTCTTCTGCACCATGTGCTTTCTTCCCTGTGAGGGTGCTGAGGCACTGGCACAGGTTGCCCAGAGAATCTGTGGCTGCCCCATCCCTGGAAGTGTTCAAGGCCAGGGTGAATGGGGCTTGGCGCAACCTGGGCTAGTGGAAAGTGTCCCTGCCCATGGCAGGGGGTGGGATGAGATGAGCTTTAAGGTCCCTCCCAACCCAAACCAGTCTGGGATCCTATGATTCCCAAGGCACAGCCCTTTCCAGTGGGCAGTGTGGTGGTCAGCCGAGCTCACTTGCTTCATCCTCATTGTTTCCTTTTCTGATTACTGCACATTCTGGAGAATATCTGGTCATAATGTGATTGTCTGGGGTGAGGGCTGCCTTTCCTTCTGCTGAGGCTGGGTGCAAGGCAGCTGGAGGGAGGTGTGTGTGTGACTGAGCTTCCATCTCTGCTGGTGCTCCTGAAACTCTTGCTCTTCCTGAGTACCTGTGAAGATCTTGGTGATAAGGCTGCCCTGAAGGAAGTGTTGGGGACCTGCCTGGTGTGTGCAGTGTGATCTTTCTCACGTCCCTCATGCCTCTCTTGTGCCAGGTTTCTGTGGTTTTTTTGATGCTACTCATACCCGTGTGCCCATCCTCTCCCCAGCTAAATCGATCTGCTTTCACCCTGCCAGGTGACCGTGTGGCCATCGAGCCAGGTGTGCCGAGAGAAATGGATGAGTTCTGCAAGACTGGTCGCTACAACCTGTCTCCAGCCATCTTCTTCTGTGCAACTCCTCCCGACGATGGCAACTTGTGCCGCTACTACACACACAGTGCCAGCTACTGCTACAAGTGAGTGTGTGCTTGCTCCATCCCCAGGGGGAATAGCTGAAGCAGTCACCTCTTGGCCCTTTTGAGTACTCTTTACATGAACCCAACAGGTTCTATTGCTTTCTGATCCATAAATAACATGCCGAAGCTTGGATGGCAGCCACTTTGCAAAGGCTTTGTCAGGCAGGCGTAGTTTATCCCCTCCGGTGCCAGACATAAACATTTCTTGCATGTCTCCTGGGATGTCACCACTGTTTTACCCTTTAATTATTTTCCTTTTCCCGTTTGCTCCCTGCTCTTGGTTTATTTTCTGCTGGCTTTTTATATCCTTGCCTTCTTAGGCTGGTGCCTGAAGGTCTTTGTCTGGTTTGAGCTGAGCTTTGCTGCTGCTTTTCAGGAAACACCACGGTGACTGCTGATACCTCTCTCTGTCATGTGAAACAAAGTCATCCCACTTCAAGCAGAGCAGGAACAGAAAGCAGTGGCCCTGCTGAGCTGTTGAGTTTTTTTTTGTGTGGCTCTGAGTGTCCTCACTAAGCTGCCAGCATTACACATCTGTTTTTATATCCAGTTCAGTAAACTGGAGTATGTTATTAATTGTGGCAGGACTGACACATTTGCTTATAAGCAAATCTGTGCTTAAACACTGACAAATCCTAGAATCCCAGAAGGGTTTGGGTTGGAAGGCATCTTAAAGATCATCTTGTTCCACCCCCTGCCATGGGCAGGACACCTTCCACTAGCCCAGGTTGCTCCAAACCCCATCCAGCCTGGCCTTGAGCACTTCCAGGGATGGGGCAGCCACAGTTTTTCTGGGCAACCTGTACCAGTGTCTCAAATGTGTTAGAAACCAGAAAAAACTCTCTGCAGTGTTACACTCATGAAAGTGCATTTACACACAGAGTTAAAAATATCCCAGGTGTGACCCTCTGAGACTGCTCTACCTGTGGAGCTTGTTCTTTCTTAGTCTGTATGGAGCTGGTGCTTCCATGAGCAGTAATGTCTTTGGGATTGATCTGTGATGCCTGCAGAGGAAGCATTCAGGATCACATCAGTCAGAAGGAGGCACTTGTCTGCTCTTCTCCCGAGAGTCCTCAGGCAGGAAGCTTTCAAAGCAGATTCCAAGCAGCTGCTGTCAGGATGAAGTGCTGCTCTGGATGGGACTAACTTCTCACTGTCCTGACCTGCTATGACCCATTTACTGTGTGTTAAAATAACATTTTCTGACAACATCACAAGTTTTTGCTTGGGAGGAAGTGGCTGCTTTGTAGCTGGCTTCTTTCAGGGTTTTGCTTTTTTTCCTCCAATTTGAGTAAACATTGGCTGTTTTATTTTATCTTTAAGCTTTGAAATTCAAAGCCTTGACCTGGTGCTCCCAGTTTCAGATCAGCAGTGCCATGGCTGGCTAATGAAGAGCAGATTCCCTGGCATGAAGCCACTCTGCCAGCACAGATTTGCTAAGAAAAGATGATGGCTGAGCTCAGTGGGCTCCTGCACATATGGGCAGTTTTTGTCTGTCCTGCTGGTGGACAGACTCTATGTTGGATGCTCTGAGTAATTTGATGGAGGTGGGATCATGCTGGGAAGCTGCTCTCCCCACTGACAGGCCGGTGCCCAGACCCAGCATTAGCAAATGTGATTCCAAACTCTGTGACAACTGAACTCTCAGAGCCAGACCTTTAGAGCCTCCTGGAGATAAGAGACATGCAGATCTCTTACAGCTGTCTTCCCACAACCATCATTTCCGTTTCTTTGGCTTGAGGCTGGCCTGACTGAGATCTGACCTCGAGCTTCCCAGGGCTGTCAGAAAGACTCTCCTCCCAGGCACAGCTCCCAGCACCCATAGTGTGAGAGTCCACACTGATGGCTCCCTGGTGGGCAGCGTTGTGGGGCTGAGATTTAATCCTGTCAGCAGCTCAGAAAGGTTTCATCCCACTCTGCTTTTTTCCAACCCTTCCACTGGCTGCGTTACAGGGCTGTTTCTGTCCTAAAGGTGTTTGATACCCACTGTACACCTTGTCCCTGCCTGCTGTGACCAGTCCATGGGTTAAAACACTTGGTGCATCAGTGGAGGAGATCCAGGGTGTGATGGGGAGACCTGGATCTGGCTGCTTTTCCTGGCAGCAGGATGTTTTCTAAAAGCTTGGAGCTGAATAATTGAAGCCAGGTGAGGGGCCTGGGAGCTCACTGGTGGGTCCCAGCCATAGGGCAGCCTTTAGCATGGTGCATGTGCCGCTGGGGGGTTTATTCCCAAGGGAATGAGTGGCAAAAGAGTCCTTGGGTTGACTCACCAAGTACTGAAGAGTTGATGTGGGGAAGTTTGTGAGTCCCAGTGTTTGGTGCTTGGAAAGACCTCACTGGTAAAGGGTTTAGGTGTACTTGCTGCTGCTTCAGAGTGGGGAAAGAGACACTAGAAACATGTTCCAGCCTAGCATTTCTCTGACCACAGGTGAGAGTGTGCTTTGCCACTGTGATTTACACCCAAATTTGGTCTTGGAGTGTTATCACCCTCATAAACCTATTTGATGACTGTTGCTTGTGTCTCGTTCTCTCAGGCTTCCAGATAATGTCACATTTGAAGAAGGAGCCCTTATTGAGCCCCTCTCAGTGGGAATCCATGCCTGCAAGAGAGCAGGGGTCACTCTGGGAAGCAAAGTCTTCGTGTCTGGCTCTGGTATGGTGAACATTGTGTCCTTGGGTTCCCTGTCTGCTGGGAGGGGATAGACAGGGCTGTAGATGTGGGTCATGGCATAGCCACGGGGGTGCCAAGAGGGACTTTGAGGCTGTTGGAGCCTCCTTTATCCCGGGAACACAGAGCTCTGGGTGTGTTCAGAGCCTGTGGCTGGTGCTGCCTGGAAGTGAGACATATTTTCTCTCTCTTCCCTCTGTACCCAGGACCAATTGGCCTTGTCAATGTGATTGTTGCTAAGATGATGGGTGCAGCAGCTGTGGTAGTTACAGGTAAGTCCTTTTAACCCTTCAGAGTGTGCCTGTTTCCCATGATACAAGCCTTTCATAGAATCACAGGATCATTTAGGCTGGAAAAGCCCTCTGAAATCATCTAGTCCAACTATTAACCCAGCACTGCCAAGGCCACTATGAAAAATGTCCCCAAGTGCCACATCCACATGACTTTAAAATCCCTGCAGGGATGGGGACACCACCACTGCCCTGGGCAGCTGTGCCAGGAACTGACCACCCTTTCAGTGAAGACATTTTTCCCTAATATTCAATCTAAACCTACTCTAGCACAACTTGAGGCTGTTTCCTCTTGTCCCATCACTTGTTACCTTGGAGAAGAGTCCTGTCTGTCCCCTCCTGTCAGGGAGCTGTAGGGAGAGAGAAGATCCCCCTGATCCTCCTTTTCTCCAGGCTGAGCCCCCACAGCTTCCTCAGCCACTGCTTGTCAGACTTGTGCTCCAGACCCTTCCGTAGCTCCATTGACCTGCTCTGGACATGCTCCAGCACTTTGACTATTTCCAAATTTTTCCTTTAAGGTACCTGCTGGAGAAGTCAGCCCAAGCACAATGAAAAGTCGGTTTGTAGGTGGGACAGCATACACCTGTCTGGAGGGAATCCTAATAAACAGCTCATTCCTCCAGATTGCTGGAGGAACCTTAGGATGTTCACTGGTTGAAATTTCCACCTGGGGTTTGAACAGGGCTGGAAAGTGATGTTTCCAGCTCCCATTGCTCCTCACTGATCCTTCCGAGTGCTGATGGCAGGAGGAGTAGTTACAAGTGCCACTGGACAATGAGCACAGGTTGCTGCAGCATTTTTTGGCCTTTCAGAAGGCTGTTACTCACCTCCCGTGCTTGCGGCCAGGTGCATTTTTGACCTCTTGATTACTGTGTTTCCATCTTTGGGTTGAGAGATAAAATTCAGGCCCCACCCTCTTGGCTTCGCGGAAGCATCCTTCAGTAGTCGCTCAGATCAAAACCTAAGGCAGATTGTTGCCTTCTCCCTAAATCCTCTGCTGAAAAGTCCAGGGCATTTTTAGCTCTGCTGGCCTCACCCTGCAGGCGTGTGTGCTTGATGGATATGATCAGTCCACACCTCAGATTTTATGAAGTGTTGTCATTTGAGGATGATGTTTGCTGTAGCAGGAAAAACAGCTCTGCCTCCTGAATCACACTGGAGGAACCTTGCTGCCAGCTGGGCTGGTGCAGGGGCTGGGGGTGACCTGGTCCCTGGGTGGGGGAGGGCTGAGTGAGCTGGCAGGGGTTTGTGGGGCTCCATTCCTACTCCTGCCTGGGTGTATCTTCCCTCTAGCACTAGGAGTTGCTTCTGCCCCTGCTCATAGGCTGCTGCAGGGGACCTAGGGCAAGCTGGTCTGGCTGTCATGTGCCACAGGACTCACAAGTGGCCATAGGGAGTTCCTGGCACCTGGTTTGTAGGGTCAGCTAAGCTTGGATACATGGAATTACTCTTGCTTACCTTTCTGTGTGTGCCTAGGTATTCATTCTGACTCACAGGCATCTCCCATCTGAGAGGTGTTTGGCTGAGATGCTCAGAGACACCCGTGAAGGTGCTGTCCCACGTCAAATATTTGTGCATGACAAGAGCTGAAGAATGAGTTTGGTTTGGCTCATTGCTGCTGGGGATTTTGCTGCCCTTCTCAAGGAATTGCTTTTTGTGTTGGCTTTAGGTGGCTGTCTGCCCACAAAGGCCCTCTTGTACTCTGCTACCAGATTCTTTGAATTCATTGGCCAGAGTTTTTATGATGTATTTGTCTGTGAAGTTTTGACTCTGCTGCACTTAAGGCTTAAAATGTTTGTGTTTGCTTTGACAAGCTGCTCACAAATATTTAGAAAAGCTTTTTCCTGACCTGGGGAGAGCTCACCTCCTACAGCTTCTGTCTTTGGCTAACCTGGAGTGTTTGATGTATTTAATGGACTCCAGTTGGGTGAGAAGATCAATTTTTTTCATGGGTCCTCATCTACTCTTCCCAAAGGTGTATGTCTTTCTCCACTCCACTGCTGAGTGGATGTGATTGATATTTATGGGCAACCTTCCCCTGTCCTTCTGCCTTGCTGTGCTTGGAAAAGCTGCTTTTCTCCTTAGAGACACCTAAGAGTTCAACCTTATTCCCCAGCAAGTGCAGGGACAGTTTGGGTGTTTGTATGGCAGTGTTGGACTGTCCTGCCTTGTTCTGTCTGTCACTAAAGATGCACTTAGTAATTCCTACTTAAAGGAATTCCCCCTGTGCTACCTAAGTTCTGGGTGTGGATGCCTCCATAAACCCTGGAAGTCAAGGTCAGGGGAGGTGAATAACTGTACAAAGCTCAAGTCATTTGAGAAAGATCAGTTGAGAATCTGTGAGACTTCCAGGAATATTTCCCTGTTAAATTGGCTCATAAATCATCATGAGAATCTTCAGGGTAGTTTAATAACTTCTTTGGAAGCAGAGACCTAGGGCTACTCCTATTCTGGTAGCCCAAACCTTCATGAACTCCCGTGGCCAGGAAGATAGAACAAATTGCTAACTAGAGGCGAGATCATATCATCACAGAATATGCTGAGCTGGAAAGGACCCACAAGGATCATCAAAGTCCAACTCCTGGCCCAGCACAGGACACCCCTAACAATCTCACCATGTGCCTGAGAGCATTGTCCAAACACTCCCTGAGCTCTGGCAGACTCAGGGTCATGGCCACTGCCCTGGGGAGCTGTGCCAGTGCCCAAACACCTTTGGGGAAAGAGCCTTTTCCTAATATCCAATCTAAACCTCCCCTGACACAGCTCCATGCCATTCCCTGGTCACCAGAGAGAAGAGATCAGTGTCTGCCCCTCTGCTTCCACTCGTGAGGAAGTTGTAGACAGCTATGAGGTCTCCCATCAGTCTTCTCTTCTCCAAGCTGAACAAACTAAGTGACCTCGGACACAGCTGGCCCTCCTGGCTGCCAGGGCTCCCCAGGTCCTGCAACCTTTTCATTGCATCACTGAAGTTTCCCAAGAGCTGTGTGGGGTTCAGCCACAGTAAGTTCCAAATCCAAATGACTTGGTCGTTCCCAAGACTCACAAGTGTCTGGAGCTCTAAGCAATACAGTAACCTGCAGATCCGTCCACTTCAGTAAGTGCTTCATGGTGAATCAGTTGTGCCAGGTGTACTGAGATGTTATTGCAGCCCTGAGCAGATCTGACAGTATTGCTGCTGTGTTCCATAGGCCACTCTGAGTCAGAACGTCCTTCCTGAGCAGGTCAGCAAAGCAGAGGCCAACGACAGGAAAGGTGTGGGGTTTTGTTGTTGCCTGAGAGTGATTTTTGTGGCCACTTTGAAATGCACTGGCTGTCCTGTTACTCTAGGATGCTGCGTCTGGAGGGATTTCTGCCAGACAGACAGTGTAAAGTACATTAGTGACTGGGTAGATACCCTAAATGACTGAATCCAGCTGTTGTTGTTGGTGTGAGACTAAACTTCATGGGGAGTTCGGTCCATTGCTGGGAGCACTGCTGAATCCCTGTGGTCTTGCCATACACTGAGATTTAGGGAGACACCAACAATGGTGGGCAGAAGGGCTTCTTAGCACATGAGGTGCCTCCAAAATGCCCCTGTCTGTGCTCTTGCTGCTTGGGAAGTCTCTGAGTGCAGCTCGGCTGGGGTCAAGCATGATCATACACATGGCCTGGAGCCCAGTGCCCAGAGCTTGGGAGGGACAGATGTGACTTGCTGCCTCCTGTACCCACAAGAATGAGAGCCTGAAGGCTTCCAGGGTGATGCTGCCTTTACTACTCAGCCTTGGCTTTTCCTCTTTCATCTGCATTTTATTATCCTTTGTTTTCCCTTCTTGAAACTTCCTCTGCAGCTCTCCTGGGTGCTCATCTTGGTGGGTGTGCCAGTGGGGGCTTGTCCATCACCTGCCCTGCCAGTAAGTAACACCATGTTCATTGTGTGATGGGCAGGGTAGAGCCTCTGGCCCTGATTCCTTCCCGTGCTGGGGCTGAGTCAGAGTGGCTCATGTTAGAGCACTGGTCTCATCCTCCTTCTCTTTTTCCCTTCATATTGTCACCCCACCCAATCTCTGACTTGTCTTGGAAGATACTCCTCCAGTCTAGTGGTGGCAGCTGTTCCTTCACTCGGACATTGCTCTGTAGGGTATGGATTTCATCTTTGAGTTTGTGCTGTAGCCACTTTGAAGCACACCCTCTTATGCAGTTGGAAAGCCTTTGGCATCTCCCTTGTCTTTATGTCCTCATTGCTGCTCCTTCATCATCCGCACCCTCTGGGGCCCCCAGCACAAGAAAGATGTGGACTAGAGGAGGTCCAAAGGAAGGGCATGAACATGATCAAGGAGGAGAGCTGGAGCACCTCTGCCGCAGAGTCAGGCTGGGAGAGATGGGGGGGTTCAGCCTGGAGAAAAGAGGGGTCCAGGGGGACCTTAGACCTCCTTCCCAGAGCCTGCAAGAAAGATGGAAAGGGACTATTTACAAGGGCCTGGAGTTATAAGACAAGGGTAAATGGCTTCACACTGACAGACAGCAGGTTTAGGCTGAATATTAGAAAGGTTTTCTTCCCTGTGAGGGTGGTGAGACGCTGGCACAAGTTGCCCAGGGGAACTGTGTCTGCCCCATCCCTCAAAGTGTTCCAGGCCAGGTTGGATGGGGCTTGAAGCAGCCTGGTCTAGTGGAAGGTGTCCCTGTCCATGGCAGCAGATTGGAACTAGATGGTTTTTAAGGTCCCTCCCAGCCCAAACCAGTCTGTGGTTGTATGATCATCCTCTGCCTGCCCAGAAGGAGCAAACATAGACCTTTCCCTCTCCTGGTTGTGCACTGCCCTGTGCACACGTGTAGGAAGCAGATTCCATGCTCAGGTTCTTCCTCCTCTTCTGTTTGACATAGTGCTCCAGCTCCTGACTTGGTTTGTCTTTCCCCAGATTTATCTGCCTCTCGCCTGCAGAAGGCCAAGGAGGTGGGGGCAGATTTCACTATCCAGGTGAAGAATGAGACCCCTCAGGAAGTGGCCTCCAAAGTGGAAAGCATGCTTGGCTGCATGCCCGAGATAACTGTGGAGTGCACAGGAGTGCAAGCCTGCATCCAGGCTGGCATTTATGTGAGTACCACTTGTCCCTCAGGTACGACAGTGACGGCATTGGTTTGGGTTTTTTTCCAGGATGCTGCAGTGAATGAATTATTTCACTCCCACAGTGCTTCATTTCAGTGGCCTTGGTGTGGGGAGAGGAGGTGCTCGTTAGACAGCAAACAAAGAGAGATAATTAAGGAGTTGATGTCAGCATGGGGATGATGGCTTAGATGCTCAGGTGCTAAACCACTTACCAAATAGACCCCAGTAAGCCCCTAAAACCCAAGCATGGCTGTGCAACGGTGTCAAGGAGTAGGACAGCACTTTCCACTAAGTGGAAGTTATATCCAAATAAGGAGAGTAATCAAGAAAATTAATTCTAGCAGGTGAAGGAAGCTGTTTAGGAAGGGATGTTTTGCTGCTATGGACATCCTAGTAGGAGGATGGGGAGAAGGTAGTGTGGAGTTTCACAGTGAAAGGACAGAAGGAAAATGGGACAAACTTCAAGAAAAGAAATTCCAGTGGAACATGAGGCTCTTATTTTTAAATCTTCCCCATTGAAATCCCAAAGGATTTTTTTGTTGTCCTAAATGCCAGTCATTTTTCAGAATGAGATTTAGGTACCAAAATCCTTCAGAGATTTTCAAAAGATTACATTTATAGCCTTGACTACTGGGTGTTTCACTCTTACAGGCCCCTGGCAGCATCCTGCCTCTCCCCTGTTTTCTCTCTCTGCCCTGGGCAGTCCATTGCAGCCACAGAGTGTGGCTTTATTATTTTCCAGATCCTGCACAGGCTGCAGCAACTGTATTCTGCAAAACACAGTGTGTTTGTGTGCTTGCTCTCCAGGCCACTCGCTCGGGTGGGACCATGGTGCTGGTGGGGCTGGGACCTGAGATGGTGACAGTGCCCATCGTGAACGCAGCCGTGCGCGAGGTGGACATCCGCGGGATATTCCGCTACTGCAACACGTGAGTCTCCTGTCCTTAAAATTCTTGCTTTCCACAAGGTGAGAGGGCTTGGAAAAGGCTGATTTTCCTTACAGTTGGATAAACTTCATTTCGCTCTGAACTGCCAGTGCTGCCGTGCAGACAGAGTGAGTGATCTGTTCTTGGTTTGTGCCTGGGTGAGTCCTGCACTGCAAACTCCACCGCAACAAAACAGCCAGATGGGTTGTCCTGTTGTCCCAGTTCTTCCTGCACTGAGTCCATGAATTTGAGTCCACAGTGGTCAGTGTGCAAGCAAGGAGGCTGTGTGTGAGGAGAGCAGTGCATGGCAGTTTTGTTTCTCATTTGGTGCCTCTGAAGTAGTTGTTTCCTGTGATTTTCATTTGCTTCCCGTGACTTCACTTACCCAACTGCCTGTGTGGCAGTGCTTGCCTTCTTGGTGCTCAACAGCAGCCAAGAGCAGTTGGCTTGTCTCTTCTTCCATGCTGGATGCTTGAGGTTCCCTCCCTGGAAGATTCTTTGCAGGCAAAACTCGCCTCGGTTGCCTGGGAAACCAAGGAGTTTCCCGTAAGGAAATTACTGTAATGAAACCAGGCTCCTGTGAGCTATTTCCCTGGGCCCCAAAGCAGTGACTGCTCTCATCCCCTGCTCTGTTTCCCTTGCAGGTGGCCTGTGGCCATTGCTCTGCTTGCATCCAAGCGCATCAACGTCAAGCCCTTGGTTACACATCGCTTCCCCCTGGAGAAGGCTCTGGAGGCTTTCGAGACCACCAAGAGGGGTGAGGGGGTCAAAGTCATGCTCAAGTGTGACCCCAATGACCAGAGCCCCTGAGCTGCCGTGGTGCCCAGCCCTCATCCCATTGCCTGGGACATGCAGCATGAGGCCACAGCAGGCTGATGTGTGGCTGTTGCACTTTTGCAGTCACTTTGTGCAGGCACTTCTTGTAACTAGAAAATCAGTCAGTGGTGAGGGTGAATGGCACTGAGGTACACCATTAGAGCATTAACAGGTCACTACGAATGAACAACCAATAGTTTGAATCAAAATGCTGGGTTAGAGATGAAAGTTTTGCACAGTTGGCTCTTCTCCTACGACTCCACACGCAGGAGAGCCTGGCTGGGTGACTCTGTGCTGGGGGAGGGTGTCACCAGCCATGTGGGCACAGCAAGGGTGGAGGTGCTGGCACTCTGCCTTCCTGCCCCACACTGCCCTGGCTGCAGCTCTTCCTGCATGGCAATCCCTGGGTGTGAGATAGCCCTATGTGAGTATTCCCCATTCCTATTGCACCTTCCCTTGGGGACACTCGGGGACTGTACAGCCTGTGAACAAAGCCTGGCCATCCCACTTCCATGGGAAGCACCAGCTTATTCAGGGTCTTCTCTTCATGCTCTTTGCAAATACCCCAAGACTTAGAGCCAGAGGCTTTTCTGAAGCTACTCTGGAGCCAACTGGGACCACATCTGCTGTGTCACCCCTCTAGCAGTTCCTCGTGGGACCACTACAGGCTGGGAAAACTAGGGCTGCTGAGAGCCCTGTCTTTATGTGGCTTCCACAGAGGAGCTGCTGTTGGAGGACACAGTAGATTTTAGTGTGGAGAGAAGTGCAGGTGAGACATAAGGAGACAGGTTTTACCACTGCAAAC